CTTCTCGCGTCGAAAAAGAACTAACCCGTGTTCTTGAAGAACAACGGAAAACGTCGTTCACAGGCATGCTATTTTCAAGATCAGGTTGTCATTTTATGCCATTTCTATCTTAGGTACAATTTTTATGAGCATTGATAACGACAAAATCAACAGTTGTAAAAATTGCATTTCAACTCTATACAAACATGTTTCTACGAAACCTGAGAAATTTCTCTAACAGGATGACCTTTAATGGTTCCATTTTCAAGTTTGTATTTCAACATTCAGAACGTTTTCCTTTAATTAACCATGAGATAAAAATGTGAAGTCATTCTATGCTCGAAACTTGTATGATTTCGCAACTGGTTTTGTAATCAAAGTTTAAAATTTTGACAGCATAAGATGGAAGATCAAGATTCCTAGTGCTGTTTTTAGCAATAACAACATTTTCCATCAAACATTCCTCGGATTTAAGAATTACCGAAAGAAAATTTACAAATTTTCTCAGTGAGACGAGGTATTGAAAAGCTCTTCTTGGCCATATAGTGTGATTAGCATAATAGAATCAAATGTAATTATTGTGGTTTGTCTAAATCTATTTCAGTCTGTCTTACATAGAGTCTATTATTTTGTAAGTGAATCTCCTTTTTCATTTAGACACAACAAAGAAGATTTGCTCGGATGTGTTACGCCGTTCACTCTACCGCATCACGTATCCCAAACGCAAAAAAGGACTGTTTGATTTATACGGGGAAGAGGTAATTATTTGTTTATCTTACTCTCTTCTAAACTTTGCAAGAAATTTCTAGCGCGCTAAATGGGAGGTTGAACAACTATCCAGTCCTCTGGATCTACAACCATGCCACATCGACTCGGCTCCCTTCCAACTTGTCGAGAATACTTCAATCTTTAAGGTATCGCCTTTAACCATAATTGTATAACAAATTAATATCTCAGTCGGTTTAAGATCCACTCCGTATTTTCGCTCCTGGGCTTGCGGCGAGCCTATGTGACGAAACTTGGCCGTTTGGTAGGAGTTGTGTCTCTCAAAGAGGTATGTTAGGTGGAACTCGTACCTTTAACGAGCTCAAGCGACATATAGCTGTGAAAAAGCAATTTTGTAGTGCATTTAAATATCTTCGAAAATTAGGTTCGTTGCTGTTGCTGATAGAAATACGAATTGTTTAAAATACAAATTCTTCAAGCTGTGCATCAATCTGTACTAAGAAATAATAGGAAACATTTGTG